ATGTAATGAAAAGAAAATAGGCGACTAGTTCATTGCATGGGCTATAACCGGGACACCCTGCTCCTGGTGGATATAAATGCGATGGCCTGGCCCTCCAGGTTGGGGTAGTCTCGAATACGAGACAGTAAAATGTGGTCATGAGTTCCGCGGGACTCGGACCTGAGAATGACTGCGCTGACGAAGACCAGTAGCAATTGTAAACGATAGACTCATCCTCTCGTCAGAGAGGATGTTACATAAAGACTATAACCGCAAGTGTTCAGTTGGAAAATAAAATTACTGGTCGTGGGTCTCAAGCGGCTGGTCACTAAGACGATCTTATTGGTGGTAAACAGCCAGTCGTAAAGTTACTTTGACTCTGACTAGTCCTTCCTGGGGAAGAGTTAGTGGTGATAGCTATATGATATAGTCAGTCAGTGAGACTAGTAGTAGCGATACCGGTCACTCCCTTCTACGTGTGAGAAGGCACCCAAGTAGAAGGGAAGTGACCAGCAGCTCTTAGACCTCTCCTCACGTTGATGAGAGGCCCCATTTAGAAACATGTGAACATCTTGAAAAGAACAAAAAATATGGTCATGGGTTATAATGGAACGCGAAACCAAGATTAACTATGCTGACGAGGGCCAGCAGCAATTAACTCGACCAACCGATAACAATAAGTTCAAGCCACAACTTCTTGTTATTTGTTTTGTTTATCGTTTTGTCTATTAGTTTTTCTCCTTACAGTTGGCATTAGAATGACACGCTGACAAAATTGTTGACATTTACAGTTACATTTGCACTGCTCAAAGGCAGAATAGGATTTGTTGAATCTCTGAGATCGGGCGCGTCTAAGACCCCCCGCTAAGCCCCCGCTAATGCGTTATTTTCGGTTTTGCATTATGGTCGAAATTAGTTACCTATTTAACTTTGCTAGCGGCTCTGTGGTCACAGCTCACTTACTCGACCCCTCCTTAAGCTCGGAAAGCGTACTTCCACCGTATTACGTGCGCACAAAGAGAATTGTTTGCAAAAGCAACTAACCGCTCGCAGACCGAGAAGAATTGGAACACAGTGAACAGCTTGGACGATTTGCAGCACGTTATTACACGGCATTTGGGTTTCGGAACCGCCGTAAGTTCGAATGAGAGCTTTCCGTGTTTTCACGAGATCTCGTATGTTAAATTTTTGATGCAAAATAAATGTTGTTAGAGCAGCAAAATATTGTAGATCATGTAAGATGTGAGGTTTTCATGGCTGCGACTATGAAGAATGCCGTATTCTGGAGTGTGGCGCCGCGTAGGTCTTGCATGAAGCGATTTCGAAGGAACGTATCGCCTCCATTTTCAGGATAGAAAAATCCACATGCCAGGAACCAGCGTGAGCAGCTGGCCACAGCCACATTCCGTAACTGCCCCATATGCACAGATTCATAGTTATTTTATTTTATCTCATTTTATAAACACGCTGGATACTTGTAATATATTGATCAATGTAAGAATTATAACACTCAGTAGTTTAAGATATGTAGCTTGTACCGCCTGATGATGGCTCCATAAGAGCCGAAACACGTTGCGACGTTACACTTTAATCGAATAGAAACTCAGTTGACACGATAGAGTGGAAGTAAGTCATTTTTATTGATTTTTGTGTTTGACAGGCATACCAAAACACAAAACACACACACACATATATATACTGTACTACTTTTCTACTATTGCTACTACTACTACTACTACTACTACTACTACTACTACTACTACCAATAATAATAATAATAATAATAATAATAATAATAATTCAGTTACTAGAATA